TGTCCATTGCAATATGGGTACTCATGAATTTTATTTGGCATGAATTAGGGTTCCACTTTTTGCTCTGTTAAACTCAATAATAAGCAGTCACTTGTAAAGTGAAAGACTAAAACTCCAGTTTAAGTCTAATCTCCCCACACTTAGATTTTATGATGATTAGCTGAATGAGAATGAGGGAAGCTCCGTTAGATACAACCAGAACTCATCATAGCAAAAATCTGCAGGAAGAAGTTTAATCCTAATGTATTAATTCACTGTGGATTTCTTACCTGAGTCCCATTTCAAATGAATGCCTTATGTTTAGGTTTTGATGTTTTAGAGTTCTATTTCAAGTGAGTGTCTTATGTTTAGCTTTTGGTATTTTAGGGAAAGTAGGTTACCCCCAATATCCAATTATCTAAAATTTTTTTTTCTGGTCAAGTGTAAAAACACAATTATTTTAAAAAGAAAATTATGCCTTAAAATGCAAAGTTAAGCTTATGTAAAAGTTGCTAGTTGCAGGCAGGTCAGCGTTTTATAAAATTAAATGACTTGAATGTCTTCTAGTGTTTTGCTACCTGCCAAAGTACCTGCCTGTCATAGTGCCAGAATTATTAGTTGTTGCTCATCAAGCATTTGGCTAATTAGTAAAACATAGTCTCCGGTACAAGTTCTCTGGACAGATTAGTAGTGCTCGTGGGTGGGATTAATTCATGCATCACTTCTGTTGCCAGTATACCAAGTTATTTCTAAATTTTTTTAACATTTTTTGATGATAATGATGAAACCCCACCCTTCCACTGGGGCTCTTTGGAGCGTGGGTTCATAGCATAATGGAATATTCAGTTTTTGAAAGAAAGGGAGAGAGGTTGAGAGAGAATAAAAGAACACTGCAGATTTCATTATGTTGATCTCATTGATACTGGTGCTCACAGCGTTCCCCAGGTACACAGTAGGCACAGTTAATTGAAAGCTGACTTTTTAGGGCTCCCGAGATAAACATCAATGTCAGCTGGGTGATGTTCAAGTAACATCCTATTTTACCTTAAATGAAAGGCTTGGGTTCTGAGAAACAATTTAATGGTCATTCACTGAACTAGAAATGAATTTATAGTACAACTGAGAGACTCCAAGAAACTCTACTTCCTTTAGCCTGATACTTTCTAGCTCTAAGCTGATACTTTTTTTTCCCCCAAATGATGATAACTTTACAATATAGGGAAAGTGCAATTAGCAGATGAGGAAACTGCAATTACAGGACACCCCAAGATGATGACACATATGTAAAAATGCTCTCAATGTTAAAAAAATACACAAGTAAGCATATGATTACCATTTCTTTGTCACTTTGGAGTCTTACCAGCCTACATTGTACTTTTGAAAACCATCCTCATTTGGAACTGATAAATATTGATCCAAATATTGGTGACTTTTAAGGTCAATCTTGACGTAGAAATAAAAGCTGCCTGAATTTTTCCTCAACTATAATAAACAAAGGCATATTTTCTTCCTTTTTAGCCAAGTTTATTACCTTCATCCCCCAAATTTCTTTGTAGCATAAGCATAGATACTTATGAGTGCAAAAAAATCACTCTTAATCTTTCTTTTTTTGGTGGTATGGATAAGTATCCTCATCAGTGCTAAATAAACCATGTAATAAGCACATTTGACCCATTAAAATCAAATGGAGTAGTCTCTCAGGTCTCCAGATGCTCCATAGTCTCTAATATTCTTGCTTACGGGGGCCCTTGCTGTTGACCTCTGCTACGTAATTCGTTTCTCTAAAGTGGCTCAGTTCCCATAGCTAGTGAATGGGTTCAGGCAGATTTGGCCACACTGGAATTCACTGTTCTAGAGATCTGTAATGGAGACTCGTAAGAACTTCACAATGAGTGAGGTTTAGCAGGTAAGGATGGTGGTTCTCTGTTCATGAGACAACAGATACTATTGGTGAGTGCTAGAGAAACTTGTGAACCCAAGGAGGTATGTGGGGAAGACCAAAGCAAGAAAGAGCATAGGTAACTGCTTTGGGGTAACTGCTGTTGGTATCAGGGCTCAAAGATTTTAAAACTATAATTATTTTGGAAATGGAGAATTTGTATTTTTCTTGACAATGGCCAGTCTAATACTTACAGAATTGGTGTAGCTCTAGTCTACCTGGCTTGTGTGTAGATTTTATTTATCGTTGATTTGTCCTTCCTTCATTTCTCAAGTACAAGTTGGTTTCCTGTGATTTAACCACTTTAATGGACAGCCTAGGACAGTGTGCTTTGGAGAAGGTAGGTAGGTATGTGATAGTGTGAGGCCATTTGTGGCATTAAATATGAAGGCAATTAATATATATATATGCCTATATATGTCATATTCAAAGAGCGGGAGCACTGTAACCTGATGTTAAGCATAGTTTTATAACGTGACATGTATCTTACAAAGCAAAATAATTGAAAGTCATGCTAGTCAAGCTTTTGTTTAATTGAGACCAGTTTATGCTTGGAGCATTTAAATTATACAACTATGCTAATTAGTCTATTTTATTACTTGTGGTTTAACAAAATTAGATTTAGGCTGTAATCTCTAATGATCATTTACTTCTGACTTGTTAACTAGCATGCTGTCATTAAAATAAATTCTAGAATTATATTGTTAGTGTACTTAGTTATTATCCCATAAGTAACATAAACAACTGGAAGAACTTGTGCCAGATGGTGAGATAAACTCTCTTATCATAAGTCATTTCATAATATCAATTGTTACATAGGTTCTAAATACTAGATATGCCATATGTCTTGTAACATAACAGCATAAAATGTACAAAACTACATCTACCTCACCACACTAATGAGAGACATGTAAGTAAATGTTTATTATAACAATATGTGGTTGGAAAGTGATGAACCATTTATAGGATATTTAAGTGTACTGTTAAAGTGTGAATTGTAAAAGTTACAGTTGCAAAATAGCAGCCTTTAAATCTCCTTGGCTTGTGAAAGGAGCTGCAGTTAGATGTGTCTAAGATCACAGGAAATTACTTAAAATATAATCAGCCTATCTTGGTTGAGCTGATATTTCAGGGAGATAATATTTTTGAAGCTCTGTTTAAAGACGTGTTCAAAATTACATGGCACAGAAGATTTTCCTTGCTTTTGTTGCCTTGCCAAGATGTTGTCACTTTATCTGTAGTAATTATCTAAACTGACTGAGCACCACAGATTACATATTTCTTCAAATTATAAACAGTTTTATAATAACATAGAGAAATTTATTGGTCTCCTTTACAATATTATAAATGTTAAGCCACAGCCCTAACCCAGCCCACTGACACCTATTCAAGACGCACAGAATTTAAATAGGCAGAAGACATCTTAATTTTTGCCAAGCATAGGTTTCCCTTTTCTTTTGTAAAGAGGGAAATGATGAAGCAACAATAAAGAAAAATATCTTTCTTTTTTGAATGTATTAGAATAATTTTATATGTGGCCAATTATGTATGATTATAGCTTTTGAACTTCACCTGGTAATGGATGTTTGGGAAAAGCCAACTCTACAACCTGGGTAGACTTCTTAGCATTACTTTAGAGTGCTAATTTTTGTCCACCCTAGACTGTGACCCTAGCAAGAAGAGGTAGTGTTGGAATCGCAGGTGAAGCAAGCTCCTAGAAGCTCTACATAGCACAAGTATTCACCACGTTAATTATTAACATTTCCCTGTCCTGCAATTACTTGTTCCTTTCCAGAGGGTCGGGTGTTATTCATCTTTGAGTCCCCAAAACTCTTACCCTTGCACCTTTGTAGATGGGGATCTTTGTAAATGTTCAGGTGGAAATGCATGTGTTGAATCAGAAACTATGCCCTTCCAACATGACTGAAGACACCTGAGTTTTATCAGTACCAAGGCAAAACTGTGTAGATTATTATTGCACTTTTTTCTGAAGTAAAAATGCTCCTAACTAACTTTTCAGAAAAATTCCATTCACTCTCATCATGTACTTAAAAGGGGAACAGTGGAATTTTCAAATATCTTGTCCTAAGGTTTTTAATGTCCGCAAAGCCACGGCATTTCTTGCAGACATCTTTCTTATAACCATGTCTTCAAAGGTCCACAAGCAAGTTGAAGTTCGCTGATAACCAACAGACAAGTTTAAAATCGGTTTCACTCAGCACTCAGTTGGACAAGTGGGATATGCTGCAATCATGATTCTCGATAAATCTACAGGGAAAAAACATGTAGTAAATGAAAACATTTTTTGTGTGAAAACATATTTGACTGTAAAAAATATATTTTTGCATTGGTTCATGAACAGGAAGAAGCCCTTCTTGGCCCTGGTGGTTACAATAACTCGCTTAATATGTATGGTGTGGCACGGTCCTGTGCAGGCAGACATTAGCACACTGCTTCCCTGGATGCTTTGCAGCATAGTGTAGGCCAGGGTTAGTTACGTGGAGCCACACTACTTTTCCTTGTGTTTGATTCTGCCTGGATATAAGGCACTGAATATTTCTTGACCATTACTCCGTTGTCCAGTTTGTCTGTTTGGCAGCAAGTTTTCATTCTAATAGAAGAAGTTACTCAGATGGAGATTCCAGATGTGTCCAAGCTGCTATTATTAGGACAACGGAGAGGTCCAACCTTTTCTTTTGAATACAATCAAGAGTAGTGTAGCTTGGCCTTTGCAGTTTACAAAGAGTCCTATTACGTAACTGGAAAGCTGTCTCCCTGAGCATAGAGAGAATTTGTTAGCACAGAATACAGCTTGGAATACACTGATGTAAAGCTTCAGTCCAGGGGAGAAACCTTTTAAGTTGCTGAAATGCAATGAAAAGGAAGAAAGAAATTACTCTTTTACATGATTGACCAAAATGCACAATAATTATACCTACTTGAAGCAGATTCCTTAGAAGAACTGACAACTCTGTGATCAGAATAAGTCATGTGTAATGGAACTAAATGCTGCATACACTTTCCCCCTGTGTAGTGCACACATGCTGTGTGAGATTCACTGTAGAGGAAGCACTGTACTTGCCTCAGACTATGTAATGGCACTTCCAGCTGCTTTAAGATAGCAAGGACTGTTTGGGAGGCTTTACCAAGGCATCCGTGTTCGCCATGCCTGTCCCTGCTTTTGCATTGCTCATCCAGTGATGTTTGTGGACTCTTCGCGTAGTTATTTTGATGTTGCCTCATCCTGTTGTATAGAACAGAGCATCATTCATTAGTCAGCTTTTATAGGAAACACTCCTTAAGGATCCCACTGATTGCCTTTGCTTCCTATTCTAAAATGTACAGAGAACTCTTATTAATTGAATGAATAATGGATTGGAAATATTATGTCTTGGAGTCTAAAAACAGAAAGAAACCAAGCCTAGGGAGGGAAGTGCCTTGACTCCTAATAGCCAGGTTAGCTAGCTAGTTAGTTATGAAGTAACTATACTCAACATTCACGTTGGTCAGTGTAAGTATTTCCTGCACTTGCAGACATTTTAGGTAAAGCTCAAGTCTGTAATACCAGCAGTAAAAGAGAGGTTAAAATTGGTATTCTAAACATGAAGATGTGCCTGCTTTAGTCCATCTGCTGACTGCTCACAGTCTCATCTAAGACTAGGGCTGCACATCTGAGACATGGCCATCCAGAGGTAGCTGAAGTGCTGGTCTGACGTGCTGGAAAGGGTCAAAAGTTCTATATTGGCCTTTGACTTTATCTGCCAAGTACGCTTTGCAAACCAGCTCAGTCTTCAGTCAGCCTGAGCAATCAAGCCTGAGCCTTTAGCCAACTGCTGCAATATCTCCCTGGAGGACCCATGGGGAGACAGACTCTCCTGCGAGGAGGGTGTTTTTGCTCACTTCCCCATTAGAAGGGGCAGCCTTCCCTCACTAGCCTCTGTTGCTTTCCCACCTAAATGCTTCCTCTTGGTTTGCTCTCTTTGCCTCTCTGAATCTCAGGAGAACTAGCTCAAATCCCTTCCCCTTCCTGAAACTGTCCTGGACCCTCCTCAGGAAGCAATAATTCCTCCTCCCCAGGAACACCTGGATAACCCTGGTGCCCAAACTCCTTGACATTTCAGATGTTTACCCTTTATTATCAATTATTTTTGCTCATGTTTCTTTTTTATGCTGCTTCAGGGTGGACACAATGCCCTGGGATTTTGTAAAATGCATTGTGTCTTATGTCATGTGGCACACATTAAGAAAATACTTTACAATTTGGGAGTAAAGCATCTAGAAAGGAATTCAAAGCAAATATATTAATGAAAGATTGTTACAGATACTGTAAAAAAATCTATGTGCATTGAATGCTTTTATAGTGTATGAAACTGTTTAAGTAACATTCTTAAAAGAATAATTAGAGTCTTGGATTTCCCAACTAGATATAAGAAAGCATTTCATATTCAGCAATGAATATAGGGTATAAATATGCAACTGCAGAGATGGAGTTGCTGCATTTGAAGTGAAACGAAAGTTATATTTTGAAAATTGTTCTGTATGTTCCAGTTATTTTTGCACAAATCTCCAAGTAGTTCTCCCACTGGGTTATTCTCTGTTTAGTATTAGTTCACTTGTCTGCAAAGTAGCAAATTATCTCATCTGTGCACTATAGGCCAGAAATACCCAAATATGGAACAACTATCTGATCATCAACTCTTGTTCTCAGGCTGCAGAACCTCTGGCTGAATCTGCTTTTGGTGGTCCTGCATTTGTCCACCAAATCATCGTTATATCCCAAGCAATTTAAATGACTTAGCTATTCTGACTCATGACCTTATAAACTCTGTGCAATTCAAATTTGACAATATAGTTAATCTAAACTGATCATGTCACTACAGGTGGAATTTTGATGAAACATCCCATATTCTAAAGATGAGTATTTATGACACTTTCAAGTTTGGCAATACTAAAATACCATTAGTATACCTCACAGAACTAGAGAAAACATTCCTAAAATTCATCTGGAACCAGAAGAGACCTGGAACAGCAAAATCAACGTTAGGCAACAAAGGCAAGGCAGGAGGCATCCCAATCTCAGACTTGAAATCATACTATAGAGCTACTGTGATAAAATCAGCATGGTACTGGCAAAAGAAAAAAAAAAAAAAACAGACCTGAGGATCAATGGGACAGATTAGGAGATGCAGGCACAACTCCAAACACATTCAGACACCTTATTTTTGACAAAGGGGCTGAACATGTCACTGGAAGAAAGATAGCCTCTTTAATAAATGGTGCTGGAAAAACTGGCTCTGCACATGCTGAAGACTAAAACTAGATCCATGTCTATCACCATGCACTAAACTAAAGTCAAAATGTATCAAAGATCTAAATATTAAAACAGAAACACTAAATCTACTGGAAGAGAGAGTAGGTAGAAATCTTCAGGACACAGGGCTAGGCAGAGAGTTCATGAATAAAAACCAAACTGCATGGGAACTACTTCAAAGAATCAACAACTGGAATCTCATCTTATTGGAAATTTTTTGCACATCCAAAGAAATCACCAACAGAGTAAAAAGAAAACCCATGATTTGAGAAAAAATTTTAGCCAAGTGTCCCTCAGACAAAAGACTTCCATCTAGATCATGTAAAGAATTAAAAACAATCAGGCCCCCAGATTCAAAGACCTAATCAAAAAATGGGCATCTAAGGTGAATACACACTTCTCAGATGAAGAAATATAAATGGCAGGGGCTGGGGATTTAGCTCAGCGGCAAAAGCGCCTGCCTGGCAAGCGCAAGGTCGTGAGTTCGGTTCCCGGTACCGGAGAAAAACAAAACAAAAACAAAAACAAAAACAAAAACAAAAACAAACAAAAAAAGAAATATAAATGGCAAATAAATATATGGAAAAATGTTCAACATCATTGGTCATTAGAGAAAAATGAAAATTAAAACAACGCTGAGATTCCAACTCACCCCAGATAGATTGGCTATCATCAAGAAATCAACCAATAACAAATGCTGGTGAGGATGTGGGGGAAAAGGAACCTTTCTCCACTGTTAGTGGCAGGATAGACTGGCACAACCTCTGTGGAAATCAGTGTGGAGATTCCTCAAGGAACTAGGATTAGAGGTCTCATTCTATTCAGCCATTCCCCTTCTGGGTATTTCCCAGAAGAATTGAAAACATCATACCACAGTGACATACGCGCACCCATGTTCATATCAGCACAATTGTCATAGCTGAATCCTGGAAACAACCTAAATGCCCATCAACTGAAGAATGGATAAAAAAGATGTGGTATTTTTATACAGTGAACTATTACTGAACTATGGAGAAAGATATACTTGAGGCGTTTATAGAAAAATGGATGCAACTAGAGATCATACTGCTATGTAAAAGAAATCAGATTCATATGTGTAAACATTGTATTGTCTCCCTAGTGTAAGAAACTGAAAGAGTAAATAAGATCCAAAAGGTGTAATAGGTATTGTAAAAGGCTAAGAAATTGCTCAAAAGGAAAGAACAACTGGGATGAGGGAAAGAAAGAAAGAAGGAAAGAAAGAAAGAAAGAAAGAAAGAAAGAAAGAAAGAAAGAAAGAAAGAAAGAAAGAAAGAAAGAAAGATATATATATATGTATAATACAGCTAAGACAATTGTACTACTACTTTCTATTGGCTTATTGAAAGGAACAGTGAATGCTTAATTATTTTATCTGCTAATCTGAACTACTCTGAAGATAACAATATGCAATATAACAACCATTGTTAATTTCCTATCATCTTACTTTAAAATTGTGTATCTTTTTAAATGTTTTGAATTTTTATTCTTTTTAAAATTAAAAAATGTTTGCCAATAGTAGGTATAGGGTTGTGAAAAATTATACACGTTCAAAACAACATGCTGAATATATCAACAAATAATTTTATTTAAGAGAAGAAATGCCTACCTAACATATGCCCCTTTTCTTCAGTTATGCTGTCTTCATTGTGTTTTGGAATGATTCTCTCTCAGACTGTTGTGATGCCTTCATGCTTGTTCTGCACTCCGTACTCCCACTCTAAGCCATCCAACTAGCTGACATTTACTTGCCAGCAGCTGTGCTCAAGCTCCCACGTCCCTGATCAGATATTCTCCTGACCAGAAACTTTTAGCAACTCTCCACCTTGTAAAACCAAATGTAATTCCAGGTTCACTTCTTATCTGTGATAAATTCATTCCATTCATTTGCCCGATGGCTTCAATCAAAGCCACGCATCCACTCTTCTCTGTGATGTGTATTAGTCTTCAGCATAATTCCTTGAGGCATAGAATAAAGTACATTATTCTTAGGAGTAGCTGCTGTGCTCATATTATGAAGCCAGCAGTATGGAAAACATCTTGAAATAAATGATCATCGAGGTAACTTTGAAAATTAAAAATAAGTAACAAGTGAAAGTGTGGGAAGCAGAGGGTGGAGAAGGGCTGTAAGTCAGAATTGGAATGAGAATGTAAAACCCCAAAGAATGGGCAGACTACAGAAGTTAGAGAATGGTGAGCCGGGGTTGGCGAGAGATCAGAGCGCATGTTAGCAGTCTCTTCTGAAACAAACCTTAGGGGAAATTCGAAGTAAAACATGCAGACCTGGTCCTGGAAACATCCACATTTGGAAGGTGAGAGTTCCGAGATAAATATTCATACCCAAGAAGAAGAAAGAGAAGGAGGAGAAGGAAAAGGAAAAGGGATTTCTAATTGAGCAACTTACTAAACTGCATAGTAATATGACCTCCAAATACAATCCCAACTCTCATTCTAACTGCAAGTACTTGCCTTCCAGAATTAATTTCAAATTCACAAGCAGGATCCAAGATAGGCCATATTAGCTGCTCAGCATTTTCACCATTATATTAAATCATTATCAAGAAACACCAAGGCTTTTATAGGTAAAAGGATGCAACTAGAGACCATACTCATAAATGAAATAAATCAGACCTGCATGTGTAAACATCATATTGCCTCCCTAGTGTGAGAAACTGAAAGAGTGAATAAAATCCAAAAGATACAATAGATATTGTGAAAGGGAAACTGTTCAAAAGGAAAGAACAACTGGGATAGGGGAAAGGAGAAGGGAAAGAAGGAATAGAAAAAAAATATATATATATATATATACAAGATAGCTAAGATAATTGTATTACTAATTTGTATTGGTTTATTGAAAGGAACAGTTAATGCCTAATTGATCCATTTTGCGTGCTTATATCTGGTAATCTGAACAGCTGCTTTAAGATAAAAGTATGCAATATAACAACCATTTTTAATTTCCTATCTTATTTTGAAATTCTACATTGTTTTTATTTTTTATTCTATTTAGAGCTACATAGTTGTCTCATACACATCTTCAGATTTTGAATTATATTAATGTGTGACATCTGTGTGTGCATTCAAGAAAGAAAAAGGTGTAAATGCCTCAGGGTGCATCTGTTTAAGTAGCAGCTGAAAGAAGTTTTTTGAAAGTTTCTATTAAACTACAAAGTTTCTATTAAATTCTACAGAATTAAGGTAAAGATTATATAAGGTAATCAAATCAATAAAAACTATAGCAAAGATCAGAATATTTTAGATTAATCTGAAAAAACTGAGTTTCTAAGACTAAAAAATGAGAAAAATCATTTTGCAAAATCCTTACCTCAGATTTTTTTATTTTTTGTTTCTAGGTTCCAGATTCAGAGAAATGCAACTGATCCAAACAGTTATAAGAGCTTAGGAGACAGCTTTCGCACGATTTTCCGAACAGAGGGGTATGTATTGATTTTCATCTATAGACTTTATGTTGAGGCATTTTAATGCATTTCTGTAAAACATGTTTTCTCATTTTCAGTGGTTTATTTTCTAAGGTTTACTGGTAAAACAAACCTAAAAGTGGGCCTTCCTACTTTGTTATTTTTTCCTGAAATGATTAAAACTGAATATGTATGTACTGGAAGCTACCACAAAGAAGTTATTAATAACTTACATAATAACTAGAGGATATAAATTAATGATAATTTATATCATTAAAGTTTTTAAAAGTTTTCATAACTGAGGCCACCTAAACTTGACAGTTATTTTGTAAATAAATATACAAATGCATTCCTTGTTTGCACAGTGGTTTATGACTATGCAATCAAAATAAATCTGTGTCAAAAACTGGTGCATCAAATCCATTATTATGTCTATTAGAGCAATGGTCCCCAGCCTTTTGGCACCCAACTGGTTTTGTGGAAGACAGTTTTTTCATAGACTGAGGTGGGTGGCGAAGGGGAGATGGTTTCAGGATGATTCCAGCAAATGACCTTTATTGTGCACTTTATTTCTGCTATTATTATGTTATAGTATATAGTGAAATAATTACACAGCTTCCCATAATGCAGAAGACTATTGGTATCTTCTTTTAAATGTAGCTTTCTTTTTGTTCTCAGTCTTAGATTCTTCCACAGTATTATCACTGGGTTTTTCCCCTTTTCAAAGAAGTTCTCTGGTTATGTTTGTTTTTTTATTCATTTCAGAGTTAGCTTGCAGGTTTACTAAAACTGTGACTGAGACAGGTGTGCAGTACAGGAATGAGGCATTGACAGAAGTAGTAAATCAAATGATTAGTAGGCCCTGCCCAGACTGAATTAGGCGTGAGATTCTGACTTAAGACCTGCACCAGATTCAGCTGTACAATGGAAGTACATCACTTCATTTGCTACTCTAAAGCTTCCCACCAGCGTGCAGCTTTATTGTTACTTGCCACTCACTGATAGGGTTTTGATATGAATTTACAAGCGGTTGTATTACTATCTTTTCTGTGCAGTCAAACCCTTCTGATAACACTGGTCTGTATTTGTGATCTCTCCCCATTGCTAGCATCACAGCTTTAGCTCCACGTCTGATAATCAGGCAGTACATTTTCATAAAGATTTTGCTATCTAAAACCTTCTCATGCACAGTTCACACAGCAGGATTGGTGCTCCTATGAGAATCTAATACCACTACTGTTCAGACAGGAGATGGAGCTCAGTGTGAGTGAGGAGGAGAGACTGTAAATACAGAGAGGCTTCACTGGTTTGCCTGCCACCTGCCTTTTGCTGTGTACCCTAGTTCCGAACAGACCATAGACCTGTACTGGTATATGGCCTAGGGCTTGTAGCCCCTGTATCGGATGATCAGGTAAATAGATTTTGTTTATGTAAGCTAAAAATGCCTGGGATGTGTACAGTTACTTAAACACTCTATGAAGGACAGATTTCCAAAATATATTATTATATAATGTTTGCATTCAAAAATTATTTTCATAAGAAAATTGGTTGAAAATAACTATTGAAACATCTGAAAATAATAATAATTAATATATATTTAGGCTGTATTATGCACTTGGAATTCTCCTTACAAGTCTATGAGGTAGGTCCAGTTGTACAGATTTAAAAAAAAAACTTTAGAGAAGTTAGTAAATTTCACATATTTATGAGTAGAGGAGCTGGGCCTCAAATCCATGTCATCTTGACCTACTGTAGTTCATTATTTCTCTTGTCAGATTCTACTGTATTTTACTCATCATTTATTTTATAAATATCTTTCTATGCCAGTATATCCTTAACAACAGCATGATCCATCTATATGCTGCAATTTATTAAATTAATTCCTTGGGTGAATCTTAATGTTTTCAGATTTTTGCTATTATAAACAAGTGTGATAAACATTCTTATACAGTCTTTGCACAATTGTGAGTGTATATTTATATATATTAATATATATTCATATTTTAAAACATTTCATATTTGTATAAGTATAAAACAAATTGCTAGCTATAGAGTTATATAATCAAAAGATATTATAGATTCTGATGACTTTTCAAAAAATAGTACTGAGTTTATAATTTTAGTATTTGAGAATTCCCATTTCACCACACTCTCTCAACTATAGAACATTATCAGATACTTCTGATAGTTGTTATTGCCATGTAGCTCTTGTTGGCATCTGCTATAAAAAATATAACTATTTTAACTGTATTCCTTCTATTGTTACTGGCATTAAGCATACTTTTATGTCGTTAGGTGTAATTTCTTTTATGAATTTCTTATTTGTATCCTCTATCCATTTCTCTAAGGTTAGATTTTCAAAAAATGATTTGTAGTAGGTTGGTATGTTGTAACTTATAGATTCAAGTTCTTCAAATGCTACATAAATTGTAAACATTTTTTCTTAACCTGTCGATTGCTTACAATGTCTTGCCCTTTCAGAAGCTGGAGGTATTGGAAGATTATAATGCTGTGAGCCTGTCAGTATTTCCTTTGAGCTTTCTAACAGTGTTACACTAAAACAAAATAAAACATACATCCTCTAATGCCAAGATGTTAAATTTTTTCTTCCAATATTTTTACATGAAAATGTTTAATTCATGTAAGAATTTTAAAAATTAATAATATGGTATATAGAAATTAAATTTCATTTTGAAATAGTTACTCAATTTTCAGACACGTCTTAAAAAACCCACCCTTTACTTGCTAATTGGAAATGCTGCCTTTTTCATATATTAAATGTCTGTATATAAATCATGTAGATTTTCTATTCTGTTTCTCTTTTTCCTGTTCTATCTCATTAGTTTATTTCTATGCCAGTTTCATACTTTTTATGTTATTTTCTCTTAGCATATTTAGGGGATATGTGAAAACATGCCCTGCAGTGTAAGGTTCAGATTCTTTTCATGTGTGCGGGACCTTCCTGGCATGCCACTGCCTTCTTCTCCAGGCTCACTCTTCATACACAGGAAAAGCAGATGCTTTGTGATTCTCTGATCTCTCCTACTCTCGTGGCTTTTGCGTGCACTTCTCTATTTCCTGAGACCCCAGTCCTCTAATCTAAGCAAGAAACTAGCCCTTTTGATTCAAAGGTAACCTCAAGTGTCACCATTCCTGACCGTCTTTTCTCTACCACGTGCTAAATTATTTTTCATCCTCTGTGTACTACCGTTCATTACTACCTCCTTCTCTTCCTTCTTTGCATGCTGGACATGTGCTATAAAAAATCAAGCATGCAACTCCCTGTCCTTCCTTTTCCACCCCAAGAATATATTTACCTAAGGGGCACGTTTCATTTAGCTCTGTATTCCCAGTGCCTATGTTTGTCATGCAGTAGAGACAATGTGCACACACTAAGGACATGAAGGAAAGTCATCACACCAATATCATAATGCTGCAAAATGAAACAAGGCTGATAGTGCAGAGAGCACTGTCTCTGAAGTTATGACAATGATCTTAAGGTCTGATGAAACACTTTGAAGTAACAAAAGATCAGCAAGTCCTTCTTTTTCTTACTATGGACATGTGAAAACTAATTGGCATACACTGAAAATATACTTGTATTTGCAATAAGTGGGATAAAAATCATGTTCATTTAACTCAAAATATACATAATGTTAAAGAAATAATAGTGCATTATCTAGTCAATATAATATCCCTTTCTAGTAAACCAGTCACATCTGTATTGCCAAGTTCTGTAAACTGTAACAGATATTGCTGAATTGGATGTGGGTGTTCTTTAGCTAGGTTCTTTATTTCATGTGTGCTGTAGGAAAAAATTCTTGCTTTGATATCAAATAATGTAGCAAACACAGTATGTGTGGTCCCTGGATAGTAAAATTGCCTTCTCCTGTACTGTATATGTAATTGCTTCTAGAGCAAATTGACATTTTCCTGCAATGCCTATAGATCTGGACATGCTGTTAGCCAAAGGCCAGAGAGCTCTAGTTTTAAAGATGGAAATATCTGTTTAAAAAAATACAAAAGGAAAAGATGCCGTTAATTTTGATATAGAGCAAGAGCATTTCAAAGTTTGATGCTAAACACAGACAAACAAATGCAGAAAGAAAAGAAACCTTTCAATACATGCTGTGTTGATTTTTTTTAGTAAAAGCAGATCTTTTGATTTTCTTATTTAATTTTTGGCATATACTATGATTTTAAAGATTTTTTTAACTCAGGTGCCTAGAGATCAGTTTGCTCAATGGCCTTGGAGGTGAATAGCACTATTTGACTCTTGCTATCTAACCTACCTTTCTCTATCTCCTCTAAGTTAAAGGTTTTGAAATCTAGTCCTTTTCCATTATACATTTAGCATCTGCCCATGTCTACCCTTTTCCCACTGGAAAAAGTGAAATAGTACTCACAGATATTCTTAAACATGCCCTTCCTTCTCCCCTGCCCAGAATTCACATGCTTCCAAAAGGAGACAATAATTCAACCACATCCAAATACCTTTGCCTTTACAGTTTCTGAGATTTGTTTTTCTTAAAAGCATAGGTATTGCTGGGGATGGAGCTCAGTGGTGCAGCACTTGCCTAGTGTGCAGAAGGCCCAGGGTTCAATCTGCAGTAGTTTTATTAAAGACATGATTTTTAAACCAGTTTTTTAGAGGTGACATTAAGTTTAAAAAATGCCTTTCAGATTGTATGTGGAGATTTCTATTATATGGAATTCTCATAGTTAGGTAGCTTTTACCCAAGGCAAGTCTTTTCTAACACAGAAGAGACAACTCCTACGGAATGAAAGCAGAAAAGAAATTTGCCATGGTCTCTGTTGAAAATGCCTCCGCTGTCACTATGATTTTTCAATCTTCTTTGGTTTGACATAAATAAACTCACTGGGGGAAACATCTATCGTGATAAAGTCAAGTCAGAGAATACAAACATACAACCTAGTTATTTAAAAGGCTCTAAAACATCAGTCCTCAACTTTTTAGCACCTGTGACTGGTTTCCTGGAAGATAATTTTCCATGGAT